TTATTATCGTGTTTTCGAAACTTTAAGGCAGCTAGTTTATTACAAATACCTGGAAAGATCTTATTTATCTTTATATTTGCAATTTTCGGATATTTATCCTGTTCATTTGCAATTTTTACATATTTATCCTGTATATTTTATGCAATTTTACATATTTATCCTGTATATTTTATATTATTTATCCAGTATATTTTATATGCGTTAAATATTTTATGTATTCATTATGTTTATGTGTATCGAGTTTTCTGTAAGGTGATGTGGTCAATATCATTTTGAGTTCGGCATTGTATTGAAGAAATTAATCCGGATATTTTCTTTTCTTTCGTAAATTCATGCTTTATTTTCGTGAACATTTCTGGTATTTGTGTGCCTAAAAAGGAATGGAATATACTTTACTGAGTTAAAATTTATAAGGTATTTTCACCTTCTTTTCCTCATGCCTTCGTGATGTAATTGGAAGCATACTCGAAACATATTCAAGAGGTCCGGGGTTCGAATCCCTGCGAAGGCACTGCACATTTTTCACGTTTCCTGCTTCGAAATAGTCTAATGCCTTTACGTTGGCATCCAAACTAAGGTTGGTTGGTGACAGAGAACGGGGACGCCTGATGTCTAACAGAGGTAAACAGGCATGTGTCTCGCACCCTCCGCTAACCAGAAGCCTCAAGAGGCCGCCTCGGGAGCGTTTTAGGATGTTAACAAGAACATTTATATGGCCATACAAGGGCAGATTGCATTCGTTTTACTGTTTTGACATTTGTTGTTGCAATTTGCTGTGGTAGTTTTGCATAGTCATAATAAAATTCAAATAAAAATACAAATTAAAAATACAAATACAAAAATACAGTTACAAAATAATAGAATTAAAATACTGGCTCATATATAAAAAATATTAAGTATCATGATTATACAGAAGAGGAAACGTTAAATACATGCTGGAAACATTTGACTGTACATTATTTGATAAGTGTCCGTAATAAAGACTTATGTAAGTTTTATGAGTAGACTTATGTGTCTGTGGATGTAAAACTACGTGCTGACGTAGTCAGTGAACTATCATGACTACGTCAGCACGAATCCTGCCTTGCGAATTTTGGTTAATGAGGAGAGGTGGTGGACGATAATTCGTCACCACCAGGATTTGGCGATTAAGCCCCCTCATCCCCGGTCGCCCTTTAAAAGGGGAAGTATATAGGGAATTTTTCCCTCCTTTCCGTACGTCTTCTTAGTGTAATTGGAAGCATACTCGATGCGTATTCGAGAGGTCCAGAGTTCGAGTCCTGGCGAGAGCACTGCACATTTTTCACATCTTCTGCTTCAAAATAATTTAGTAACTCTACATATTTACTCTTCACAAAATGGATAATATTAATATTAACTTTTTTCAAGAAAAGTAATATTATTAGTAAAATTATTGCACTGCGCTTAGAGCAAATAAAATAATATTATGGCCCAATTTGAAGTCAGTCAGAATGCTTTCACTTTAGTTATTTATTTCAGTATGTTACAAATCTAATAACATAACATATAAATTTAATAACGAGGTTAGCTTTGTCCGAATGAATAAAACCATAATAACCTATTAGTACATGACAAGCATAATCTATCAAGACGTATAATATACTACATACATGTTTTAAATATTTCTATTGGCCCAAAAGGCATGCAGTTATAAGATACGCTACTTGCAATATGTAATATCCAAGAGTTGAGCAAATTCTGTTTACTCAGTGGAAAATAAAGTTCTGTTACTGGAAATGCTGAGAGCAGTCTAAACTAACAATGATATCTAGGAAAACAATAGTTCCTCGAGATAAAAGTTATTTTAGTTTACTTTTCCGTTTGATAGATATGTAAGAATTCGTTGTTACGAAAGAGACTATCATTCGTAGAAGGCTTAATGCCATTGAAGAAAAGAACTCTTTGTACTGAAAAAGATATATACGAGAGAATGCATGAACGTATAATCTGATAGTTACATTATAATAACTGAAATTATTACTTTTCAGAGACTTTAACGAATATTATAAATGGATCTTTCACGGCAAGCCTTTTTGTTGCTTGACATATTTTTACTTCCGTGCGAAGTAAAGCAAGTATTGTAATCGCGAAAAATTTCGGGTATCATATTTCAGTAAAAATATCTATTTTTACCACTCTCGAATCATATTTAACAATGTTTTTGCGTGATATCTGTACTCGAGTATAGAATAAAGGACAGCTTATTTTTGCTTATTTTGGAATTGCTTATTTTTGCGTAGGAACTGTAATTTCAAGTGTAATTTTTTAATTGTTTTAACTGTATTTAGCGTTTTATGTTTTTCTGTATTTTACAATATTTAATAAACATGTTTTGAGTTTTTATATATTTTTGCCTTGCCGCGTAGTGAGAACTGAATTAATTGAATGACAAATATATCTCTAACAAAATTCAGAAAAATAAATTTAAACAAAATGCAGCAAAAAAATGTGCATAATTTAATAGGCCGTACAAGGAAGTCATGTGGCACTCTCATCACGTTTCTTTGCTACGAGCAGTTTTATTAATGTATCTCTTAAAAGAGGTTACAAGCGAAAAATATAGCGGCATAAACATCGTGGAAGGAAACTTCAAGGAAAAAACGACTCAAGAGACGAAAACTTCGTCATACAAAACGTCGCGGGAGAAATGAAAGCAAGAAGAAAACATCGTGGTACAAAATATCATCATCGAAAATAATGGCGGTTCAAAACTTCGCATTTTAAAATATCGTTGTCGAAAATATCTTGGTTAAAATAGAGCAGCAGCAAGTCATCACATAATGATAACTTCTCAGGAATGCGTTTTAAGACTTTAAATGTTATTAACGCATATTCGAATAATGATGAATGAGGAATATCTAACACTGAACTAATAACGTCTTGCTAAAGACGTAAGCAGGAAATTTGTCCTTGCTTTCTTTTTTCTAAAACTTTAGTTACTAGAGAGTAGCAGCAATGGAAACAATATCTGGAATGTGAAAGTTGTTTGCCATGTGTAAAGAAGTTTATGAACTTAGCCCAAAGCCCACCAGTAGTCCAGCGGATGAAACCGCTGACCATCGGAAGTTAATCGAGTTTAGAATCCGGAGAACGAATTGCATATATGGGCATTTCTTTTGTTACCCCATGTGAAATGCAAGCTAGTTAGGCGCTTTCGGATTCTTTGCCAAAATCAGTTAAGCAAATACCTTCGACTTTTTCCTAAGATATTTTACTTTTAAAAAAATAAAGCATTTTTGCTCTTATTTTGGATTTATTAGTCTATAAAAAGTGTTTCGAATGTGCGCAACATTAGTAATACGACGCGAAGTTGAATGAATGTAGTCAAAGAACTTTCCCAGAATTCAGATAGTTCCTAAAAATTAACGAGTTTTATTTCCAAATTTTTTCCATTAAAGCATTCCGGAAAAATCAGCATTTTCTTTGCATTTCAGGATACGAAAATCTGCATAAAACTTCGCGGATGTATCATTATCCTTATTTACTTTGCATCTATTTCGGTTTCAATAGCATTTTATTTTTGATTTTAGTCCTCTTGATACATTCGTTTACAAAAATTCAGCATAAGATCCCAAAAATCTTTAAGAAATTTAATAAATTTTAAATAAAAACATTTTTAATTAATAAATTTATAAATAATAAATTTTGTATTAAAAATTTATAAATTTTAATACAGCAAAATGATGCAATATTCCTGGAATTTGTTGTATAATAAACGTTTCGTTAGCATAATCTACAAAATTTTAGCACGAAAGTTTTTCATTGCAGAAGCAGGCCAAGATGGTATCAAATTTTCGCCTATGTTCACTGAAAAGAATATAACATCAATGATCTATCTGTCTTTTACACCCCTTATCTCCCGAGCCTTGGTATACCGAGAATGTTAAATTATATGAGATTTAGGAAAAGGTTGATTGTACAAGAATGTCTTCTTCCAAACCACATATCTCGAATGCTTTGACGTAATTTAAAAAACTTCAATTCTGTTTAAGCCATATCTCTGAAAATTTTACTGAAGGCCATAAAAAAAATCTTGATTTGTGCATTAAAACCATGGTATTTAAACTCTTTACTATGCAGGAAACTGCAATTGTGCCTTCATTTTCATTTTCATAAAATGTTAAATTGCTGAGAGGCATAGTAAGTGCAGGCAGTTGCTGTCCCTATGGGATATTTTATATCTATATAATTTAAGAGTTTGTTTTTCTATAACTTCTCTGTAGTTTTCATGTCAGCAACGTCTGGGCATTCTATTGGCTTTATTATGCCCATGGATATCCTCTGATTTTCAAACATTCTTGAAAGTGCTTAAAAATAGACAGTGTCCAGCTGTGTTGTTTTCAGGTTTATATAACTTATAAAACTTCAGAGTCTTAATTATGTTTAATGCAAAACAAAGTCACATAAATTTAACACAAATATTTGATAACTTAAAATAAGAAAATAAAATAGATACCAACAGGTCATCACTAGATCGTACTAACAAAACGTTAGCATAAGAAGTCATCTGACTGCCTATATGATACTTTCAGCAATCCCGTAGCTTCCTTCCAAAGAATATAATAAATACCGAAAGCAAAGTAAAAAAAAATGTTTTCTCAAAAATTTTGAGATAATATTTATACTATGGAAATCTCAAATAAATATTCTACGCAACTAGGCAGTCAGGGCTTAAAAGTATAAAAATAGAATTTGCGATTTTATTAAGCCATTTAATTTAAAGTTGTGAGCAGTAAAGTTTGCCTATTCTCGTAATGCAATAAGAACTCAAGTATTAATGTTTTCTTTTCTCAAAACATTCTTTTAACCATAGAAATGAATTTGTATTAGCTAAAATAAAATCCAAGCTTTCTGCAAAATTTAAAACTATGTTACCTTTTGAAGAGTTGATTACAAATAATTCTGTCTTTAATAAACTCTCATCTTATATATATCCCTGTTAGCATGCTAACTTTAATATGTGGAATTTATTCTTTCAGATTCCTTTCCACTTTTCTAAATGACAAGGTGAATTGCTACACTCTGGAAGTGAGTTTCCATGGTTACGAGGTACAGAAAGGAGGCTCAAGCAGTGTCAACATCTATAACGAAGAAGAATGTATCCTTCAGATTATTTCATGATTTTAAGTACTTTCGAGAACTTGTTTGCAGGGCCAACTTAAGATGAACGGAATTGGATCATATTTGTATTTTCTACGGCAAAAGGTATCTTCAGATAAAACTTCAGATCTTCAGAGGAAACTTGGTAGATATTTGACTTGACAAATTCTAATATTGATCGGTTTTTAAAATATTTCTTTCTGTCATTGAAAATGCAATATGAACTTCACTAACATACTAATTACTCATTATAATTTATCAAATGTTTGAAGGATGATCATCGAAACTCGGCAATGTGAAGTTTAGAATTTAAGTATTCATAAATGAAATGAAGGAAAGGAAATAAATTAGCATTTTCTCATTTATGGAATCAGGGGGTAAATTAAATGAGAATATCCTAACATCATTAAAATCAGTGCAATGCTATTTTTGAAACTAAATTAAAAACAAATTGCCTTATCCACTACCAACAACACAGACTTCATTTAAGAAAACTAATTTTTCAAAAGATACAAGTGTCTCCCTTTTATTCAAAAAATTAGCGAAATTTTGGAAATGACCTAATATATTTTCTAGGTTAGGTAAGGTATAAGTGCAGGGGCCGCCTATTATTTACCCTGTATAAGTAGGTATAGGCCCCTTACACTAGCTATCCAGAGTAGCAACGCCTTCCTGAGGTCCAAGGTGCCGAGGTGCTGCTGTTGTCTGCTGCAACCGACATCACAAGCTCTGCCACCGCTGGCGATGCCACCGGTTTTCCATTCATAAGCCCAGATTTATTTTGGCTGATGGAGTATTTAACTGCATGTTCATCATACCTAGCTATTCATTGCTTATAGGTACAATCTATGCACTTATTTCCTTTACATACTTTGGTTATTGTTCAGCACTTTGATTTTTCATTGCATATGGGATTTACTCATATTGTTTCGTTGACTTGCTGGTGCGCGTACTTGCTTTATACCATTTGTATGGAGACTGCTCGTGATTTTAAATGCTTTCATTATTTGCTGTGACCGCTTTCAGCTAGAAATTCAAACAATAATCATTGAACGCTTTCCTTTGCATAACGATTTAGGTGGAATCACTCTGTGTTGCAGAGTTTTAGACCCTTTGATGACAGAATATCCATTATTTTGGGTTATGCGCTTTTGCATATGGCTATTACTGATTGCGCATTTTACGTACGGACGTATATCTTGTTCTAGTCTTGATCTTCTGAGGTACATACTCGTTGTTATGATGCATGTGAATACGTAATGCTCTGGATCAGCCCTCTCCCCACATATGCATAGATCTGAACGTGCGATATTCCGCTTGTGTAGAAATAGGTGGGGAAAGGACCTAGGCTTGAGATCAGCCATGTGATTTGTCTACTTGCGACGTTTGGGGTGGAGTTTATTCTTAGATATAGGTCCTACGTACGCCTGCCCTGTTTAGCGGAATCCCACTAGTGTTGCCATGCTTTTTGAAATGTATTTTGAGTTGCATCTCGAGCTGGGAGTTTCGTCATGGAACTGTTAGTTTCTTTGCATTTATACCTTTAGCTGTTTCTTTTGCTAGAGCATTCGTTTTCTCATTGCCCTCGCTGACAACGTGCACTTTGATCCATGATATTATGAACTGCTGGTTGGTTGTGTTAGGATTTCCTGGATCATTGGGGAATTCTTAGATTATTTCCTGAATAACTCTCTGCATCAACAAAGAGCCATCCATTAACAAATTCCCACAAATTTACACAGACGGCTCCGGCCTCAAATGTGGAAAAGGATGTGCGCTAAAAGTATATCTCAATAGGCAGTCAACAGAAGAGAAAAAATTTCTACTAAATATAGAAAATAGTGTTTTCCAAGCAGAAGCAATTGCAATATTAGAAGCCATCAAATACAGTATTCACGACTCTTTTAATATATTTTCTATTTTCGCGCGCATTTTTTTTTTTTTTAGAAAAGCCATTCAAGATCTGATGCATGCTTGAACAAAACAAGGAAGAGCTTTTTTTTTCTTTTGGCATTATCTATTTGTCTTCCTTTTTTTCGCCCAAGGAAAAGAACACTGATAACTTACAGTGCACAAAATATTTTTTTAAAAGAAATAAATTTGTATTGAAAAAGAATTATTATTAGAAAGAATAAGAAATAAATTTGTATCTAAAAACAGCAAAATATCTCAAGATCCCTCAATCCATGTACTTAAAATGGTTAGATGAATTTGAAATATAGCATAGATAGAAAATATACATGTAAAAATTGAAAAGTAAGAATAAAAATTAGATTTTTGAACAAATTTTAGCTCAATACTTTAAAACAGATTTCTTGAATATAATATTTACACCTTTTTCTGACATACCTGTTTTAATAGAATGTCATAATCTTTCATTTTATCAGTATACTTAATTACGAAAGATTTTGAAAATGTTTGATGGTTAAAAATCTCATTTAAATCTATAACATCTGCTAAACATTGTCTAGTACTTTCGGATAATTTTTTATATCTAGGAACCAATGTCTTTAGTTTTTCATATGCTAACCCTTTCACAGGCTGTTGTGGCGTCAAAGAACTGCAAAGGAAAACCAAAATGCCTTAAAAGAAACTAAAACCTGTAAGGTTTATCCTAGTTTTATAACAGTTACTTTAAGTTTATAAACCTTTCCTACCTCTTCTAGCTTCAGCTTACAATTCCTTACCAAAATGGGTTTTTAGAATCGCGTTAACTTCAGATGAGAAGTAGAAAGTATCAGTATCTAAGTCCCACTAACTTCGAGAGAGATTTAGGATTCCTGAATAGCACGCGTTTGCCTTTTGGCTACGTCTGCCTAACTGTTACTATGCTCGGTTGTATTACGTGCTTTTTGATAGCTTCGCTGGCTAGTTTAATATTACGTACCAACTATGTTAGAATTGTGTTAGCTTCAGCTAAATCTCTTTAGTTAGTCATTAGTTAGTTCTTATTTCTTACATTTTAAGTTAAGCCCATGTGGAGGTTTTGTTGTATGGCCTGAGAAAGGGCCGACTGTATATTTTTATTTAGAGCAAATACAGGGTAATTAACCCTTCGTGAGTTTGCGTTTCTATTCTTGGACTTGATCGAATAATCGCTTAATTGTTCACTAGGTTCCTCAACACTTAGTTTTGTAGAATAAAAGGGAGAATCACCGCAAACCTTTTTCATCAACAGGATGTTTGTACAAAATATAAATCATTCATTAGAAATTGTAGAAGGAAAAGAATGTACATTCCTAGCATTGGTGTTCAATGGCAAGCAGAGTTTTTATTTTTAAAGCCTGTTAGTAAATGTAACGGGGGAAGAAATTATTTATTAATTGTAATTGGTTGTTTTAGTAAATATGCATGGAATATTCTCATAAACAAAAAAAATTGACAGGAGAAGTCACAAACGCGTTTAAAAAGATTTTTAAAGAATGAATGCCCATGATGATTCTGACCGCTATAAGTTCAGAGTTATAAAAATGCTCGACAATTGTTTACAGGCAATAATATTCATTGGTTTACCACAAAAAGTATAGAAATTACATGTGTTGTTGTTGAAAGACTGGGGGAAACTTTAAATAAGAAGATTAGAAAATATCTGGATGCAAATGGAACTAAAAGATATATAGATGTGCTAGATAAATTAGTAAAAAGTTATAACAATTCAGATCATCGATCAATAAAAAATGGCACCTGAGGCATCATCTCTTAAACGTAACGAAGCTTAGTTTATAAGAATTTATATGAGCCCATAATAAAACCTATTCAAATTCGACGGTACCGTTCTAATATCTAAATTTAAATTTCCTTTTACTAGGGATTATTATTATACATTTACAAAAGATGTTTTTGTTATTTTTCCAGTTTTAAACATTGATCTTCCTATTTATAGACTTGGTTAAATGTGATAAAAATTAATAAATATGATAAAAATTAGTTAAATATGATAAAAAAGATTAAATTTATAAAACTGAAAAAATAGTAAGATGAAAAATATTGAATTTATGAAATCGGAAAGTACGAAAGAAAAGGGAAACAAAAGTTTTTGTTAAATGGTTAGAATATCCGGTAAGTTTTAATTCTTGGATTGTCGAAAATCATCTTTAAAAATCCTGAATATTCTTAACATATATTTTTCTTCCTTTTCAAAAATATCTTATATTCTGCAAAATAATTTTATTATTTCAAATTTCTTGTTAAAAATTCGTATGCATTTTTTATACTTTACCCATTATTTAAATTTTTTGTATAATTTATTCTCGTTGCTTATTAAATCATCGGGTTGTCGTTTTATATGTTTGTTCATTGTTAAGATTTTATTATTTTGAACATTTGAATCTTTCTCAGAAGGACCTAGTTCGAAAATTTTAATCTCCAGTTTGGAAGTTTGAGTCTGTAAATAAAGAAAATTTGTAAAATTATTATAATATATAATTTATATGTTACTTTTTAATTCTTTATTTGTTTTATATGCTTTCATATTTGAAAAATTACATTTTCATTTTGTTATTTTCAAGTTATCTTAGCTTGATTATTTATTGACTACTTCAGTCTTACATAGCTTCGACTGAATAAGGAATAGAGCATTTGAATTTTCAGAGTCCTAGCCTAAAACTCTCTTAAAAATTTCGTTTCAAATCTTGGAAAACATATTTTTATTAACTAGAAGCATTCATTAAAAGATGACCGAGAATGTCACAATTTCATTTGATCGGAACTGTCTTTTCTAATGTAAGCATGTGCAGAAAATTTTATCGACCATTCTCTGAAATTTCAATAAGGATAAATGCAATAATCTTTGAATATAAATAAATTGTTACCAACTGGATGTTATATTCAATTTATTTGTAACTATTTCCTTAACTTGCGATAGATTTACGTTTGGGAGAAAGCATTTGCTACTCGTTGTTGGATTATTACTGTGCCATCAAATACATACCTCCAGATGATATACCAAAGGAGATACGAGAAACTTATTGCAAAGGAGCTCGAGGAAAAATACCAACCGCTGGGAACACCAGATCTCCTCACCGAACACCAGCTGGTACTGGAAACAGCAAGGTTTCCGCTTCTAAAGGAAAAGATAATGGTAACAAGACCAACAAAACAAAGACAACGGTCTCCAAAGTCTCAGAATCTAATCACCATCCTCAGCCACTGAAATCGGAAGAAAGAAAAGAGTAAATTAATTGCAATTTAATGTACAAAATGGTCCAAAAAGCGATGGATTCCAAAAGTTCTAAAAAATTGAACAAAGGGGTATAATAGAGTTCCATTTGCATAAAAATGAAGCGCAAGGAAAGTCCCTTTCCCCATTGCGACCGTTATTGTCAATATAAAATTGTTGTTATCAATTTGAAACATTGTTTTGTTGTTGGTTTATATTGTAAACAAACCATTGGTTTATATTGGTAATTCTCATTTCACCAAAACAGATCTTATGATTCAAATTCACTTTCATGTTAACTGCACTCTGTTTACTATTTGTTCAATTTTAGTAATTTTTTTAATCACTAGCCGTTTCCACTGTCATCCACCTAAAATAATTATTATAAAAAAGGGAAAAATGTATAATTATTTAAATGAATACAACTAATGTAATTCCATGGGTCCAACAAATAATTAATGATGGCTACTTCCCTTTGTACCTCAGTGCCATAAGTGTGCTGTCGTGCTTCTGGATATTAATATTGCCGGATTATAATAGAATTGAAGATCACATTTATTGCTTTTACATTGCGTGGTTTTGTTATTGTATTATTTGAAATAAAAATTAAACACTTACGCTACCACTGGCAAGTGGAAAATAAAAATATTTTATTTAAGGCAGGTGTAGCATATTTTTTTAAATCGCTGAGTTTGTTAAAGAAATTTGAACGAGAAATATATTACGTTTTGCCGAGTGGCAAAAGGTTTTTATGTATTTGAGTTTTCTGATTAAATTTGAAATATAAATATCCTACGCTTTTCCGAGTAAAAACACATTCTTCTTTAAATTGCTGAGTTTTTTATTCAAAAATGCCTTAAATTAGTATAAAATATGACATAAATAAAAAATTTCGAAATTTGGGCCTCGATTGGATGTGCATACGTTCGGGGAGAGAACATTGTGCAATCAAACTTTGGTGGCTCTTAGATGCCACCGTTTTTCCACAATGCAAGAAACATATATACTATAGACTCTTAATTATTTAATTACAGTGATCACGATCTTTTGGACTACAAGTCATTCATTAACGTAACTTTTAATGCATTGTTTAAGGTTATAGTAGCTAAAAAACATGAAAAGAGAAGTTTAAAAGATATAGTGTTAAAAATAACCGAATAAATGCACGTGTAGGAGTATATAAACTTGCGAAGATGTTTAAATTAAATATACGTTTTTGAACAGAATGTAATGAACAAGTTTTAAATGATGTAAAAATTTTAAATTGATGGAAATTTTTAGCATTATCAGCATTTATAAAAGGAAGACGCTTTAAAATTCAACAATTTTCACAACAGTTTTTTTTTTTTTTTAAGTTTCATTACGAGGTTTAAAACTTCTAAAGAAAGGCATAGTTCTTTACAGGCCCACCAGCGGCCGAGCGGTAAAGTCGCTGAACACTGGTAGTTCGGTCCGAGGTTCGAATCCCGCGAACGGGCTGGCTGCATGGGTGTTTTCGTGGTTTTCCCCATGTGTAACGTGTATACGAGCCAGTTTCCCTTAGAAAGTCCTCCACGAAAGGCATCCCTCCCCTTTGGCAGATAGCCCTAGTGTGCTTTGCCGTAATTAAATACACCAGTTCTTTACAGAATGGTGAGGGATTTGATATGAAGAATATATGTGCAGAAATTAATTATCTTAAGCTAATAATTTTGGTCATATTCAATGTAATTTTTCATCAAATAGAATACTTCATCAATAGTTGGGGTGTCAGTAAACTACCACTTCAATGAATTAATAATACAAAAGAAAAAATCTGAAAGGATTCAGATTTTAAAAGTCGCCAAAAATAATTTATTATTAATTTTTAGGTTTTGTAAGTTTAATATGTTTTACCAGTAGAGAGATAGCCCAGGTGGAAAAGTGAACCGTTTTATAAGATTCTATATGAATGTACATTTAGACTAATATTGAAACGTTATACATCATCTTTATATTTGATAAGTAAAAAAATATAGAACGTAATTCTGTAAAAATATTGAATGTTTTTAATTAGATATATTATACATCAAATACATTTTTATTTAAATCAATCAAATTCAAAAGTAAAACAAAATATTCTTCAGATCTGCATCTATTCGTTTTAAACAGCTTAGCTTGTTAATCAGATTAAATTTAAAAGAATTACATTTTGTCATGGCATTTCGCATTTCGCCGAATGGCTAGAGACATGAATGAAAAGAGAAACAACGCAAAATCGACGCAAAGTAAGTTTTATATGTTTTTGAGAATAATAGGCCTCTTAGACTATCAATATATATTTCATTAATTATTTTAAAAATGATTAATTAATTATTTTAATAATTAATCTAATTTACTGATCCAATTTTGGGAAATGTTATTTAGCATTTGCTTACTATGCTTCAAGAAATTTCCCTAAAGAATTATAGATAACTAAAGAAATAGTTTCTTTAATTAAGTAGCTGTCGTTCAGACTAGTTTTTTAGAAGTTCAAATATTTTGATCAGTATAAGAATTATGTAAAAAGACAAGTTTCAGACCTAAAAATCTGATTTCATGCTATCATTTATAACTTTAGAGAAATGGATATCTTCTTAAATAAATGCCTTTACCGGAGAAACAAACTATTTATTTCGAATGTCAAGATGTGCTACAGAAATATACAGGAATAAAATCAGTTCTAAAGGATGATAATTTACGTATAACATATGAGGCTGCTGTAGCAAACTGAATATTCGGCTATACTTGCATTATTTAGTGTTGAAGAGAAGTACAAGGTTTTCCTCATAATTTTTTTCACGTTCTCAAAATCTTATTTCTTTGCATCTCGTGAACTATATTTAATTTCGCGTTAACAAATCTTTAAAGAAATTGTAAACATCCGACTCATTAAGTATTTAAAAATTCTGCAGTTTGCCACAGAACCACTCTTCACATTACCAATTACGAGTTAGCTACCGAATATATTTCTTGGTTTTACTTTTGTTGATTTATAAACTCTTAATATATAAAAAATTGATGAAATAAATTGTTCTTTCGTCGAGCCTAGATTTTGGGGTTTATTTTTAAAGCAATTAACTTCTTTAGCTTTCTGTACTCCTTTCTTTCTTTTCGGCTTTTCTACATTCGTTTATCCTTATTTCTTGAAGTCTTAATATTTTTCTCCATTTAACACCAGCTGTCTTCTCATTTTTCTGATTGTAATTTGAAAGTAAAATTAATCCAATTAATTGGTAGATACCATCAAATAAGGGAAGCTCTAAAATTCTGTTTTAAAACAAGCAAACTTTAAACTTGGATTAACCTGAGTTTTGTGAAATGTTCTACTAATTTTTTTTAAATCTCGCAAAAGATCTTCTCTTTTTTCTAAGTATTTTGAAATGATTTTTGAAATAGATAAAGATCTTTTAAAAAATTTTGAAGAGAAAAAATGTTTAAAAAACAAATAAAAATAATAAGAAAGAAATAATGATTTCTGGTGGAAGTATTCAGTATTTAAATAAATTGTAAACAACATTCATAATTCATTAGAATTGATTATGAAAATAATATTCAGTGTGCTTAAGATTTAATAAAGTTTGTTTAATATTTGTTCAGTAATTGTTTCTGAAAAAATAGCATAATTTCAAAATACTTATTTTTATTCCAAGCGAGATACTTGTAAATTTTTTTTTCTTAGAACCTAAAATCTGGCACCAGTCTAAAGTAAATGATAATTAATTTTAAAGTTCTAGCTGTGATGATTCTCCTGATCTGTCAACAATCTTGCATTTGACCATGAAATAATTGTAGTATTTATGTAGTGTGTCCAAAGTCATAAACATTTACCTTAATAATACTTAAATTTTATCCTGCGTAATTCGGAAGCAGATTTTCCTCCATTAAGAAAGAAATAATACGATATTTTCATGTTTAAAGTTCTCATTAATTCATATATTTGCAAAGTATCTTGCTGAAGAATGACTTCCAGTCAAATTGTATTCAATTCAGCATTACAGTTGTAAGAAATTTTCTCCGTGTTTTGCTATTATTGTTTTTAAGGTTAGTATTAGTATTCCTGTTAATTTAAACGCATGAGGAAGCCATATCTGAATTCCTTGCAAATTTTTTGAATTATCTAATAATTTAATCATACACATAATCAAAAGTAAACGTTAATTTAGAAGTCAAACAACAAAAATCAGCGTTACATTTTCAAATTTTCACAGGACTAGTTTCGATGGTTTTATAGAACCATCATCCTCAGCTGCAAAAGCGCAAATGAACGAGATAAGATATAATGATTAGATAAGATAAGATAAGAAAGCCTGGACAGGACACAAGCTACTGGCGACATCTGTTGATGAAACCAGCCTTCATCTGGTGACAGGTCCTTCACCTTTGACAGGTCCTTCATCTTCGGACGTGTCAAAAATAAAAACTGCGATCAAATCTTCACAAATCCTTTCAAGCAACTTAAAACATTCGCTTATCATTTACACCATAAAAAATTCAATAGAGTTTGTAAAAAAGGTTAAAAACATTTCTCCTAGAAATTTACTCATGGTTTCTTTTGATGTAAAATCATTATTCACCAATGTTCCAGTGGAGGGTGCATTAAGATGTCTAGAAACCAGACTTCGCGAATTTCATTTCTCTTGCATCGAAATTGATGAGCTTGAAAATGAAATTGAACAAACGCATTTTGCTTTCCAAAATAAATATTACAAGCAAACTGAGGGATTAGCCATGGGAAGCCCCATCAGTCCCATCCTGGTTGATATATACAGGCATTATTATGAATCGAAGTTGTTTGAAACTTTAAACTTTCCTTTGTGGTTCCGCTACATAGATGATAGTTTTACCCTGTTTGAAGGTAATAAAGATGATTTAAATAAAGTTCTTTCAACAATGAATTCTATTGATCCTGCTATTCAGTTCACTTTTGAACTTGAGACTTGCAATTCTCTTCCGTTTCTCGACATTATGGTCACACGTAACACATCCAACTTCAGTACTACTGTTTACCGTAAACCTTCATCGGTTTGCCTTCCACCACACTTTAAATCATGTCATCCGACTAAACAAAAGTTAGCTTCATTTTATTCCTATGTTTTCCGTGCTGTTCAAGTTTGCTCCTCCAAAGTAGCCCTTGATGAAGAGCTAAATTATTTAAAAGCAATAGCTATTGACAGGGCTTTTCACCAAATATTATTAATCAAGCAGTTAAAAAACTCTCATCTCAACACACCAAAAGGCACACTCTTGTTTTAAGAGATTCTAAAAATTCTGTTGTCATTCCCTTCTTTCCATCAATTAGCTATAAAGTTGCACGTATTTGGCAGAAATTTGACTTCCGGGTCTTTTATTTTCCCATCAATAAAATTCCGAGTTCCATACTCAAGGACCGCATTCCGAATATGAATTCCTGGGATATTTACAGGATTCCTTGCCTGTGTGGTTTAATTTACATTGGCCAAACTAAGAGAGCCTTAAAATTTCGCGTTTAGGAACATGAGGCATATATTAGAAAAAAGGAAACACAGAAGTCTTTTGTTGCCCAACATTTTTGGTCCGAAAATCACACTTTCAATTTTTCTGCTGCCAAAATTATTCAAAAAACATCTTCCATTCGTAAACTGTGAACTGG